CGACAGTATAAATTGTGTGTTCTACTTAAGTAAAATAAATAAGGACGTGTTCATCGTTCTACATTTAATTCGCACGTACCCCCCCCCCCCCCCCCCCCCATTTTAATTTGAAAAGAAACTAGATCCATGTGAACGTCTACCGATACTCTAATTGGAAAGAACATTGATATTAATTTCTATCAAAGTTTTGTTTCAGGAGTATGCATTAGACAAATGATGATTATATAAAAGGTCATAGTTTTACATATATTTGAATTAAAATAACACTTTCAGGTGGGGTTCCAGAAAATCCAGATTCGAGAATCAGCTAAAAGATGTACATTATTTCAAAAGAATAATGCGGACAGTAACTAAATCAATGAATGTCAAAGGATCAATGATCAATCCAGGCACCCCTCCCCCTGCCCAATAAATAAATAAAGAAAATATTTAAATCCCCCGTCTGTCTTTTAATTGTCCAGTGGTTTCTTCTTGCAAATGCTTGGATTCGGGTACGTTTGATTGCACAAAAACAAATGCGGGCGCCCCCCACATAATCAAAAAATTAACACAATATGAAAACTTTAACAAACGCCTTTCCTCAAAAGAGGGCACCCAGGGCCTCACCGCGCGCTATGAGTTTATTATAATTTTTCAAACTTATTTGAATAAATCAAATTGAAATTGAATAAAACACATCTAGCCTAACAGTTTAATTCTTTAAATTAATATTAAAGAAAGTCAGGGAGTCAATGTTAATTTCAAAAAATTGCATGTCATGTAATAACATTGTTTTATTATAAAAAGGAAAAGACCTCTATAAATTTCATATCTCAATACTAAACGAAGATTTTTATTTTTTTTAATTGCTGATCTTTTTGAAGGTTTTGAAATTTTAAACAAGTTCAAGTTCAAGTTCAATTTATTCACTCAGACCATATCAATGGTACATGAGGTTCAACAATATGTACAATATATACAAAGAATAATATACAAGATACACGTGAAATGGCGGAAATATTCATATAAAGTAACAAAGATAACTATGGAGGACAGACTTTTTCATATACTCTATTTATGTAACAGCATAGTTTAATCAATAGTTTGGAGTCAGCAGATGACAACAATTCTGATAATTTGAAAAAATTTGGTCTATTACAATATTTACTGGGAAGATATTTTTTTCTACATTCGGAAAAATATTTGCATTCTAAAATGTAGTGATACTCATCAGCTATTTGTCCATTATTACAAAGATTACATTGTCTATCATTTTTGGGAATCCCAAACCATCTCCCAGTCTCAACTGGAAGACGATGATTTGTTGTTCTTAGTTTAATTAATATTGTTCTAAATTTTTTTGGTAGTAAGGCTAAATATTTTTCAAATCCAAATTCTGTTTTGAAGATACTATAAAAGAGACCTTTAGATGAATCGCGCATATTACTTTGCCACTTCTGTATGTACTGATCTTTAAGACGTTGTTCAACTATAGCCTTTAGCCATTTAATATTTATAAAGGTCTGTTCATTCCACACATTTGAGAAGCCACAACTATCAAGTATATTCTTAATACATAAAATCCAAGGATTCTTATGACTTCCTGTACTGAACTGTTCAAATAAATGTCTATATGTAACATAAACAATCTTGTTTTCAGGGCTTACCAATAATTTTGCCCAATAGGATATCATTCTCGAATACACTGTTATATACAAAGGGAAGCGACCCGTTTCGCCATAAACCATATAACTAGGAGTACTACTTTTTAGATTAAAAATACAAAAAAAAAAAAACAAAGCATAGCATTAAGATTAAGGGAAGGCGGTCAATTAAAATAAAATAATTACCAAATTACTGAAGATTAGAAAATTAACAAGGACAAATAAATGCAAAAGTAATCACCTCGCATCAATTATACCAAATAAATGAACGCTTATGCTTATTTGATTTTAATGTAATTTTAAATTTTCGCAGAGTTTGGTAAAATAATTATTTAAAAATGTTAAATTTAGACCCAAAACAGCTGAAAGAGGCATGGAAAATCAAAAGTATACTTGATGCTGCGACAAGTTTTCACAAGAACACTTTGTAGTGATTTTGAAATTATTCCCCCACGTGTAAATTAAAAAAAAAACTATACATGTATATATCAATTGCTTTTATTGATTTTTAACGAAAGTTTTTGACATGAATAAATCGGAGTGATTTTTTTCTATATAAAATTAACAACACAGTAAACACACTGACAGTGCAATTACACCGTTAACACAAAAACTAAAACAGTGTAAGAGATTAAATATGTGATTCTAGGAATTACATACGCAAGAATTATTATTGGTTTTGGGTATGGATATTTTCCAGATTTGTGTTTGTATATTTCAGAAGTAATTAGGGGGGAGGTATCAAAAAAAATTAATTTGAAAAAAATAATCTACCAACAGAGTGGTTTTACACTCACACACACACACACCCTTACATACACATAAAAAAACAGAAACAAAGATAAAACAGAAAAAAATTAACATTTGTTTTAACTTTTTTTTTTTTAACTTTTATCATCGAATATAAAATGATCTTGATTTAAACTACTTTATTATAGACCACCTTTTGCATAATCAATGCAATACAATGATGTGTTCACGTAATATATTTATTTAATAGACTCAGACTTCACTATAATCCATAAACAGCCTAAGGCATGTTACCTGACCAGTTGGCTGTGTGCGTTCAAGTTTGAAGCGATTTCCTGTCACGAAAACATACTTTGGATGCATTAAAAGCATCTGAAAATGAGTTGCAAAAATAGGATTATTCAGTCTTGACACTGCTAGGCGATTTATTTATTACTTTAAGGCGAGGAAAATGGAATGACGTCAAGGGGAAAAAAAAGCCACGCAAAGCTAGCTGACATCGGATATTAAAATAAAACTATAATTTGTAACACATGTTCGTGAGTTTAAAAAATAGTAAGATTTCTTGGTCATAAACTCCGTGCGACACGGTGGAGACACACCGCAACACTCTGTGGACACACCGTGGTGCACCGTGGACACACCGTGCTACACGGAGCGCTGAAACCGCTACTTCAAAGGTGCCGACTATTTTCAAGGCCCACGCTAAAGCGTGGGTTCTCGGTCCACGGTGCCCCGTGTTTTATGCGGAAAACTCGTGAGCTGTACTGTAGATTAACGTTGTTAACTATAGTTTACAGTCCGTAAAATATAATGTACAACCGATAAACCTAATATATCGAATTTGAAACTATGTTTTGCTAATTTTTGTTAATTTGGTGTGTCATATGTATGCATTTAAATATACACAGTAATTATAATATGGTACAATAAAATGTACTTTTAAGAGGTGGTCCATCAAAATATCAGGCAACAAGTGAGATATGTGCGAATAGGAAATTCGCCTATTTGGTATATTAGTTTCTTTTGACATTAAACAGTAATGATCAATGGTAGTTTTTTTGAGCTTCAATGATCTAACAAAACATATGTCACTCTATAAACATTTTTCCTACTTTTACCAAAGAATATCCGAATTTCTATTAAAAACCCTCTCTTCACCAGTGCAAACTTTGTTTTGGACATTGAGAGATTTGTGCTAATTAAAGCTGAGCCTATCTATTTAATTTTCAATATATGGTACATGAATGTGGTGCTTACCCCGAACCCCCATCCCCCCCACCCCCCCCCCCAAAAAAAAAAAAAAAACACAAAACAGTATCAGAGAACAAAAACTGCTGTACATTTACTTCCTTCCATCGAGAAAATTCATTTTAAAACGTCCTGTACAAACATGTAGAAAAGGAGTTATTAGCTCACCTGAGCCGAAGGCTCAAGTGAGCTTTTCTGATCACATTTTGTCCGTCGTCCGTCCGTATGTCTGTCTGTCTGTCTGTCTAGCTGTCCGATAATCTGTAAAATATCTGTAAACTTTTCACATTTTGTAACTTCTTCTGAACTAGAACCACTGGGCCAATTTTGACCAAACTTGGTACAAAGCATCCTTGAGTAAAGGGAAATTTAAATTGTTAAAATAAAGGTTAGAGTCCCCTCACAAGGGGAGATAATCAAGAAAAGACAAAAATAGGATGGTTTTAAAAAATCTTCTTCTCAAGAACCACTGGGCAAGAAAAGCTGAAACTTATGTGGAAGCATCCTGGGGTAATGTATATTTTAAATTGTTCGAATCATGACCCCTGGGGGAAGGGCGGGGCCACAATGGGGAATCAAAGTTTAACATAGAAAAATATAAAAAAATCTTTGAAAATCTTCTTCTCAAGAACCACTGGGCAAGAAAAGTTGAAACTTATGTGGAAGCATCCTGGTATAGTGTAGATTCTAAATTGTTCAAATTTGAACCCGGGGGAAGGGCGGGGCCATTGTGGGGAATCAAAGTTTTTGTAGAAATATATAGGAAAAATCTTTGAAAATCTTCTTCTCAAGAACCACTGGGCAAGAAAAGCTGACACTTCTGTGGAAGCATCATGGTATAGTGTAGATTCTAAATTATTCAAATCATGCCCCCGGGGGGGAGGACGGGGCCACAATTGGGAATCAAAGTTTAATATAGAAATATATAGGATAAATCTTTGAAAATCTTCTTCTCAAGAACCACTGGGCAAGAAAAGCTGAAACTTATGTGGAAGCATCCTGGTATAGTGTACAGTCTAAATTGAAATACAAATCATGACCTTCTCAAGAACCACTGGGCCAGAAAAAAAAAACCTATTAAAATGGGAGTTGTTTTAAATTGAAATATATAGGAAAAATCAATTTTAGTTTGATCTAAGGGCAGATCACTCTAACTGTAGAAAAATACCACAGAACAATTTTGTTGAGTTACATGTAGCTGTCAGCAAAAGAACAAATTAATAATGATTTTGTACCTGCTTTTTGAGACATAAATTGAAAACTTATTCAATTATCCTTTCGAAAAATGCCCATGGCGGCTATTTAGATAGCGAATATTGTCAATAAGACCTGCCGCTAATGAAATAAATGAAAGTTAATAACAAAAGCAACCATATATAAGTGAGAAAAATCGCCGGATACTGAAGATAATTCTTAGGAAAAACATCCAGAAAAAATTCTTGTGTGACCATTTGATAAAGGGTAAATGTACATCATTTGATATGTTTGGTATTACCAAATGGCTCCTATTCGTACTACTTTTAATTCTGAATAAAAGGGGGATCGCAAAACAAACTCAAGATGATGTTAAGATCCAGGAAGATTTTGATTTTAATATCACTCACATAATTATTCAGAGCATCCTTCTTTGTGGACCAGACATCGTTTGCGATAAGTCGATCCTCTCTTCTCTTGGGATTCGAATTGATTCAGATGTGGTTCTTCCGAACAGGTGCCCGTATTGTACTTGCCAAGAATATGACTGCTATTCCATATTGTCTAACTATCCCTGCTGTCCCGATTTATTCTTTCAAAAAGGTCTAGTAGAATGCACTGATACTTACGTTGTTCCATTCAGATTTTCTTACCCAGATCTCGTGGTATCCCGCTGTCCGGTTGGTACAGAGGCCATTTTATCCGGTAACTGCACAAAGGAACATGAAGATGAAGACCGACTAACACAACCACCGGTTGCTTCATCAACAAGCTGGATATCCTACAAAAACAAATATTGCGCTTTGTGTCATAACGAGACGAATTACCTGGAATGGGTATTAACTTTCAAATGCCTAGTTCCAACGGATTTTAACCATCTTTCCTCTTCTGAAGATCTTCTTTCTTTTGCCAAATCAGAATCCTGTGGCATTCATTTTGAGCATCCAAACATAGGGCCATATATGAAACTCTGTTCTACTCGCTACAATAAAAGAATTGCTACATGCAATGTATCGGGTTCGTGGCTGCATTATGACGACCAGATACAAAGTGCATGTCAAAGTGGGTATGAAGGACATTATGGCATGTTTAAAAATATTTTCTGCAAAATTTGCAACCCCCCTAAATTTGAAGAGAAAGTTTTGATTACGTCTTGTGCACATTCAAGCATCTTTGAGGATACTTGCTTAAATTTGCCTTTGTTACAGGCTTCATTCCCCTATAAAAATTATTTTTGCTTCGTTTGCAACCACGGCGATAATAACGAAGAATACTACAATGATGTAATGTTTAGAAGAGCTAATGAGACATACTGGGGAAACGAATTTCAATTTAACATTGACATTGCGTATATTGCAGACCACGTTAAAGTGTATTTGCAGGAAAATGTTGAGAAAATAGAGTCACATGTACTAAATATTAATACAGAGGCCATAAAACCAAGAAAAGATCCAATGCAGATTAATTTTCCAACAGCGGTTGAAATGTTGCACCTGCCTTTAGGTAATACCATCTGTTCAACGAGAACGAATAATGAAATATCTCCGGATGCTTCGCCCGAAAATCTCTCACTTTTTCGTTATTCCGTCAATTTGACAAATCTAGTTTATGCCGGTTTCTCTTTATCAGGAAAAGGTACCTGTACATCCGGGTTATTACCCAACTATACACTGTCCCTACAAAGAAACTGTTCTTGTTCTGTGGGCTGCACTTTAACTTGCTGTGACGATTTTTCGATAAGACAAAAATGGACTTGTATCAGTGATGTTTACCCAGGAAGCAAAGGCAATGATACGGTTAAGAACTTTCGTGCAATTAATGGATGTCTTAGCAATAATCATATAGGAAAACTCTGCATACAGAGAAATTTTTCCAATTTTTACCATTCTATTCCAGTAGAAAATATGTATTGGACAACCACCTTTGCAAACTTATTCTGTAATCTGTGCAAAGAAATCAAAGGCGAAGAACATTATAATAAACTCTATGACAGTTTAACGAATTTAAGGCCTTGGGATTTAAAGGTCACATGCAAATCATACGTTAATTATCTCTATTTTCAGTCATTTCAACAAGTGATAGACAGTTTCATGCAAAATTCATGTGATATAGGTTTTCATGTTCCATATTATACCATGAGATGTAGTGACGTTTGCAATGTAGAAATATCATCTTGTAATGTGTCAGGGACATGGAAATCGTACAACAGAGATGTACTTATAGCGTGTGAACAAGCAGATGCCTTGACGTTTCCTCCTGTAAGCTCGGATTCGGTTGTCTATAAAAACAAATTCTGTTTAATATGTAACCCAACTGAAGTGAATTCATCTGAAATAATCCAGACATGTAAAAAAGATAAAGATCCAAACTTAGTCACAGCTTGTCGACAATTTCAAAACATTCATGTTTGCTCCCAGTACAAAAATATTTTCTGTGAAATGTGCAATGATGTGAACGCTTCTTCCTGTGAAGGCTTTGTTTATTGGAACTATAGCACTGGTGAATATTATGGCAGTACCATGATATATGATTTTAGCTTCCGGACGCCATTTTCGTTAGCTGCATATGATAAAAATAATGGTCGGACACTGTTGGAGAACACTCTGAGCTGCTCACCAAATCAAATCTACGATGAACGTCTTGTAAGTTTCTGTTTTCCCTCTTACATCTCAGAAAATAAGACTACCCATAAAAAAATATATTGTTGACTATCAACCAGTCGTCAACTTAATACTCAAAAGCAGTGAACATCAATGATTTTCTTTAAAGTTATCAACTGTTTTGCATTTAATTCTCAGTCGACTTTCAATAGGCTGTTTTTCGCCAAGTTGGCCATTGGTTGAAAGCTTATACTTTGCAAATCTCATATGATAAAAGAGTAGACCATTGTTGAGCACTCTAACTTTGAGATCTTGAAGCGTTGACTTTAACTGATCTCTCAATGTAAGAGTAATCTGACAGAGAGTTTCTCTGACTCTAATTATGTTAGGGTTGACTTCATTCTAAATCGGGGATAAATACTTTTCAAATCGATTAAGCATTACAATCTAGATTTTAATCAAGTAACGTGTGGCAGTGTATTTGTATGTTTTGTCAGAAAGTGGGGAATATTGAGTTGAAACAATTATTTTTATCAACGAGCCTGAAGCACGAAATGAATATTTATTTTTAGCCGAGCTTATTGCTAAACAAAGCAATTACCGGCTTATGTCTACCCCACATTTGCCAAGTTAAAGTTATATGTAAAAATATAGTTCTTACTCTCAATTTTTGAGATAACACAAATGCTAAAAAAGCAACAAAAATAAACGAATTTTATTAAAACAGACAACAGTAGTAATTACTTTGAAAACTTCAGTCCTAAGTCAAATAACAAAGTTCATTTGCGTAAGGTTTTTCGATGGTGTGTGTTATCGTAACATAGTTCTCTACAAACGAGAGAGGGAACCAAACTAGCCTGTTTGTTTACATTGGACCATGTCAGGTTAACTCTTATCTCGATAAATTCGGACCGTGGTATTAGGAACCTAAAACAAATTGTTTGATCATTTATATTGATATTTTAAAATAATTTTTCCAGAAGAATATTTTTTTTTCAAATAATAAATTATATGTCACAAAAGCCCTTATTTTCGTAGCACCATTAATGTGTTTTTAATTGTTTGTGTAACATATTATTATTACAGTGTCCAAAATTTTTGGTTATTTATCTTTTTGAGGTGCATGGACACAGATTTAAAGTTCATATTTTCTGTATAATCTTACGACTTATACATTTTAATAGCATTTCCCAACAAAATATATTAAAAATCTTATTTCATCTTAAAGTTATTAAAATTTTTTTACACGGGTTTGATTGACACATCTTGCATTTTCAAAAATTTTAATTTTATTCTTAATACTTATGAAAAGTGGCAATCTTCTTGTGCATAAATAAAAACTATAATCCAGAAAATTCAGAGCAAAAATGTTCGAAAGCAACACATACACACAGTATATTGTCAGTCCGTGCAGTTGTGGTGAGCAGACTTTAACAATTGAACGCTCCCGGTGTATCATTAACATCAACAATACCAGAGCTCGTGCCCTGTTAACAAAAACTGTGTTAGTTTCATGTGTGTGTTCAAATTGTTAAAACTTGTACACGTAGTAATTTGAAATTTTTTTAAATCTTTTTTAAATGCTTCTTAAGAGGGAATGTTTTGAGAGGAAGATGGGTTATAATGATCTTTGGAAACTAACAGCTGAAAATGGAAGAAATTCACGTTCAGAAAGTGTAGGGATAGGGGGTCTCTACACTTCCTCTAACCATCCCACCAAATAATATATATTCTAATGATATGTTTGCATGAGTAATTCTCGGTAGCAGATGAAAGAATTTCCTAAACCATTTTATCAATCTGAAAATATTTTTCGATCAATGAAGACAAAATAAATTCTCATATTCATCTGTAAAGTCACATGCAGGTAAATATATCATATGCATTTTTTTTTACATTGTTTGAGCTCCGCCATCAGAAAGATAGAAATTATTCAATAATATAATAACAATATTTAGTCACTTTGTCAAAATAATATATTGCACAGCTGAATATTTGAGGCATATATACACGTAAGACACTATCCAATTGAACGGAATACGTACATGTACAATACACGTATACTACAAATATAATGCAACTCATAAAAAGTTCTAGTACATTCTTATAATAAAATTAAAAGGCAACTGAGTCTTATATGTAAGACTTTTCTTACAATGTTACCATTCTTGCAATGTTATCGATATCAAAAAGGTACACGTAGTCAATTTTTACAAATAAATGCATTTTTAAAGGTATTCAATATCACTAAAGAAGTCAATTTTTACAATGCAATTTATGCAAGTATGACCACATGAGTCTGAAGATTTTATCGTTAAAAACGGAAAAGAAATTACCCACCCTCAACTAAAAAACGCATGTTTGGTTTTTTGTTGTTTAGGGTGGGAAAAGTTCTTTCGATTTTGAACGATAAAAACTTCAGACTCCTGTGGTACAACATTTCTATCCTTAAATTTTATTTTGCAGAAATCATGCAAGGACCTTATCTGTTTTCCTGGCAAGACCCTTTGGAATGGTACTTGTGTTTCGGTTCTAGCAGCATCAGTCAACCTGCGATATACATTGGCTACTAAAGTCAAATTTGTCCTTACAGACAATACTGGAACAATCAGATGAACATTACTCAAGTTCAAAACCTTGCTATGGGAGAAAATACATCAACTGACTCAGATAACTGAGTCACATAGTACTGTCATTGAAAATTTTATCATAATGGTATCCATGGGCTGCCGTACTTTAAATATAAGGCAGGGAGAATTTTATTTGTATCTTAAATTTTTTCTAAGGGACCCAATTAATAGAGATAAATTGGAGGAAAAACTAATTCGTTTCATGCAAAAGCATACTAACTGGACACTTTCGAACGAAACCAGTTCAGAGGTTGAAATGTTTGTTAGTGAAAAAGCATTTATGTTGCCCTACCTCTCGATGCAATACAACAGAAAACGACAATGTTTCATCTTTCAAGACAGACTGGATTGCCAGTCTGGCGCATACAGGAATAATTTGATAAGTCCTTTGCTTACTTGCCCACAAATTCAAATCAAAGAAAATGATTTTGGATCAAAATTAGTTGATATTCAAACATTGGATTCCGGATTTGTGCAAGAGACTTGTCTACAATTAAATTGAAGGGTTTAAAAGAGAGCCGATTTTTGTTAGTCCATGATTTGTTGTATTTCATTCTACATATTTTGGAGTCGCGTGTGAATGTGGGATTTTGTATTTCAGGGGACAAAGGTCTTATGCATGTATATGTTGTACTTTACATCAATATGTACATGCACAAGTGGCTGGCTAACGAAATATGCAAAGTAGCAGTAGTATATACTTTTATATGTAGCGGTAATGTAATGTTTTTGTAGCGGTAATGACTGTGTATTACTATTAATATATATTCACGGTACTAAATTAGATATTCAGTTGTGCAAGATTCTGTTCGTTTGTCTGACCCTCTCGAGAATTTTTCACTCATACTGGAGACGCCACCTCTTGCCGGTGGAGAGCTGTAAATTTTGTCCTATACTTGGCACTGTGGGCCATTGAGCAGAGAGCGATCTTTTTCATGCCAGCAACTACTGCAACGCAGGACCTCTGTACATACGTTCCCTTCCCAATGACTGGTCTCCACACAATGGAATTCAACTCCTTACTTCTTGACTCTAGAGCAGACACTCTAACTGCTGCGCCAATGGGGCGACGCAAGATACTGAAACTGAATATATTTATGCACCTATCTTAATACCCTGATCTTACCATCTGCCATCTTACACATATCAAACTGTCCTTTCTCTACGTAAGGAGTCATGAATAGAGGATTGCCCGGGTCTATTCCATTCTGTAGCATGGGAGGATATTTGTCAGGAAACATGCACCTCAGTCCACTTCTGGCCAGAATCTGCTGAGTCAGGCAAAGGAGGAAAACAGGGAGGGTATACCTGAATATTGGGATCTTAATCTTTCATGGAATTCAAAATATAAGTTTAAGTAACCTATACTGAAAACATATACTGTATACACACTGGCAGATTAAAAGGGGGCCCCAGTTCTCCCAACCACCTCCCTCTTGTGTCCTAAATATAGATATTTCATAAATCATTATTATAATTCTAACTT